TTCCCAATGTATCGGCCCTGCTTTGTGTGTATGTGCCCAGGCGCAACTGTCAAGGCCTGGGCCAACTGTATGATGCAGAAATGTGAGGCTCACGCATCTACCCAACTAACTGGCGTGCTGCGAGAGCCTGAATACCCACACATGGAAATGTCGAATTTTGCCTCTGACGAATATTCAGGCCCGCCTTCACTTAGGGCGGGCACTTGGCTTGCTGGGGGCCTTAGCCCAGATCATGTGATGTCTGATAGGGCCCCTTGAGGGCATCGTTCCTCACAATTATTTGTTTTCATATTTTATTTTTATTTCAAATTTGGTAAGGAATTCGGATGTAACGCTGTGTCAAATGTTGTTCGTTTTATTTTTCTGCGTAACATCTATTATTTTCAGATTTTTTTGAATTTTTGGAATTATTTTATTTTATTTTTTATTTTGTTTTTAGGTCCGCGTTCGGCCCGAACGGCCGAACGAATCCCCAAGGGGGGCCAACGTTTGGCAGGTTCGGGTTCGGGAGTTTGGTCGAAACCCAGACGCTGGTAACCCTAGCTTAGTTAAAAAAAAAAAAAAAAAAAGAACCTACCCAGCATCCATGATTTTCCGCCCTGTATTTTTCGCCAAAGGACATAAAAAATAAGAATTGCAAACGTTCGGGCAGTCAGATTTTGCACACCCCCAAGGTACCCCCCTTGCACCCGTTAGGCCCAACCTGACCATAACATCCATGTACGCTGGCGATAGCGTTGCTAGGCCGGGCTGGACTGGTGGTTCAGCTAGGGAATACAAAACTCCTTGTAGTCTATGGCTAGTATATACATACAACGGGTTGCATGCCTGGCAGGCGTCCAAATACCCAACGTAAGGGGCTCATACAGATGGGCATTGCACAACCATCACAGCTAAGTGAAGGGTTGCATCCTTGTATTGCAGGCCTGCAAATATACCTCAACATATAGGCCTCACTGAGAAGCAAAGGCCAATTCCAACCTTTAGATGCCATGTTATTCACCATCTGTATCTGAGAAGATTAAATCTGATACGACTGGGATACACAACAACTCTCTTTCACGAAATCCGTTAAAATTGGAACGATACAGAGGGAGAGAAGATTTGCATGGCCCCTGCACAGAGGGACAGAAAATTGCGAGGGTTACCCCTCAGCTAAGGCCTTGCAGCAGGCGCGTGCCCGCCCTAAGTGAAGGCACAACAACTCTCTTTCACGAAATCCGTTAAAATTGGAACAGTACAGAGGGACAGAAGATTCACATGGCCCCTGCACAAGGATAACACACATAAATCGAGCAATGGTCCAAATTTGGAAACAACAACAACAACAAAGAACTATGCAGTACAAAACTGTGTAAATGATCCAAGTCCTTATCGAAGAATGAATACGCCCAGAAACCCATGCTATTCACATGTAGCTGTCGAGAAACAGATCGAACAGATCAAGCATTCAAATCTGGGTGGAATTGGTGGACACCATACTGTTCTACAGAATCTACACCCTTGAAAAAAAAGGCAAAACGAATGAAAATCGCGAGCGTTACCCCTCAGCTAAGGCCTTGCAGCAGGCGCATGCCTGCCCTAAGTGAAGGCGGGCCCCCTGAACCTCCATGTGCCCTGAGTTCATCAATTTTTGTAAATCTTGGTGAGCGCCAGACAGTTGCCACACGCCAGTTGGTTACATCCTCCTTGCTCGAGAGAATGCAAAATACTCATGAGCCTTCCAGGCTTCTTCCAGCAACGTTTGTGCCCGGGCGGTTGGGCATGCCTAACCAATTCGGTCCCAGGCCACTGTCTGAACGGACCTGGGCGTAGACACTTTGGCCGAGACTGAAGCTACTGAAAACTCGGTCTCACGTGGGAAGCACGCGGAAAGAGCCCGCCACTTTCCATATAGAAAAGGGCTGGGCTCCGGGGTGGACATCCGGGCACTCGCGCGTAGATGCGGAAGCGCTGCTGGAGCAAGCGCAAGTGTGTGCAGGCGCGCGCGGGCATCGAGAGGAAGAGGGCACTGCTGTGGGCAGCGCCATAGCCAGCCCTTGTAGCCGGGCTTGGCTTGGATTAGCCAGTGAAGGTGGTGGTGGTCTGTGTATGCGGGAGACGATGTGGGTGTAGAAGTCGAGTGTGTGTGT